ATTTTTAAAGAAGTAGAGTCTTAAGCTCTTAGTTGTATAATTATCTTATCTGTAAAGACCTTTTGTCTCTTCCTGTTTAGTACTCATATCTACTATTTCATTTCCATGCCTTGTTGCTTTATTTTAGCTTCTACACATGTTAACAGTGGTGGTGATAAAACCTCTCTGTCTGGTTCCTGAGTTTGGTAGAAATAGTTTTAGTATTTTTCCATTCTGCATACTCTTTGCTGCATTGTTTTTTAGTAGCTTGTGCATTGGTTTGAGGTTTTTGCAAGAGAATAATACAATATAGGACACATTTTATAAGATTATTTTTAAATGAATCACCCAAAACAAATCATATATCAAGAGCACAGGAAATCTGTCCACACACTAAAGACCAAAGACTCCAGTTAAGGGCCTGGATCCTAAAATCCTGCAGGAGTCCAGCTGAAAACCTAGGGCTCATAACAATGCTTCCAACAAGTCCATCTGGAGACTTACAGCCCATGACAATATATTATGCAGGTCCACTTCATGGATCTGCATTGGGAAGGCCCAGAAGTCAGTGGAAGAAGCTAGAAAGTCTGTGCCAGTGGGATGAAGGGTCTGGCTAGCAGGCTGAGGGATCTGCATTGGAGTTAAGAAGTAACATTCAAGGTAAGCACCAGAGCACCCCCAAAAAGTACCACAGCCATTCTCAGCAACAGTGAGGTCCTGAGCTCCTTCAAAGATGAAGAAAACTGAGTTCCTATTGGGAAAGCCAATGCAACAAGCTTCTCTAGGAGAATAAGCCATGTACCATGTTTCCCTCTACAGCCAGGAAGCGATGCTCAAGATGAAGACCAGAGCTCCCCAAAATGAACTGGACAAGGTCCAGTTAAATGAAATGGACAAGGTCCATTCTCAATGACAAGGTCCTGAGCACTTCTTCCTACAAGGACAACCAAGTTCAACAGGAAAGCCAGCATGATAAGGTCCTCCAGCAGAATAGCACAAGTGAACCAGCAGTTCCCTAACAGTTTCTCCAAAAAGCTTCTCCAACAGGCTCTTATGCAACAATCCTCAGATAGCCTTAGCACCACTCTAGTTCAGTTCAGCTGGGTGTAACAAGTTGACCACCAGTTGGCAATATAACACAGCTGGCACATACTGTTCCCTGGAGAGCCAGTAACCTTGTGTATTAGCTTTCTGGTGCTTTGACAAAGGCCCTGAGCAAAACAACTTAAACAAGAGAAGCTCTACTTTGGATCATGGTCTCAGTAATTTCAATCCATGGTCACTTGGTCCCATCACTTTGGACCTGAGTTGAGAATGCACATCATGGTGAGGAGCACTGTGGCAGGAAAAAGCTGCTGACATCTTGGCCGCAGGAGATGAAAGTAGAGAGAGACAGAGGCAGAGAGCAGGGTATAAGGGTAGCCGCAAGGGCATACTCCAGTTCCGATTCCTCCAACTAGGTTCTGTACAGTTCCCACCACCCCAATGGAGCCTTCAGCAGATGACCCAGCCTTTACCACATGGCCTCTCAGGGACATCTCAGATTCACACCCTAATAAGCTGGATATGCAAGAGAAGCATCCTGGGACTCAACTAAAAAAGAAGCCTTTCAAAGAGGAGTCAAGAGGGATGCTATATGTAAAACACTGAATGAGGTAATTCAGAGAAAGCCTGAGTATAGGTCATTAGACTCCAAAATGTGGTGGTCTGGTCACCTTGAGAAGAATAGTCTCCCCGAAATTCAAGTTGGAATGGGGTAAAGAGTGAATGGGAGAAGACAATGTGGAGACAGGGAGAGGAGGCCCATTTTGTCTTGCCAGGTTTTGTTTACTAGAAAAGAGACCAAAGGTGTGTTTTAGATTTATTATTATTTTTTTTTGTACTGGAAATCGAACTCAGGACCTTGTGTTTGCCAAGCAGGTGCTGTGCCACTGACCTATATCCCTAGCCCTAGATTTTTGTAAATGTGGAAAACTTTAAACCAGTTTTGAAGGCTGCTGCTAACCTAGAGCCTTGGACACACTATATATTCTTACTCTCACTGAGCTATACCTCTATTTATAGTAAGAGGGAGAAAGTCAGAGAGTGACAAACAAGGACAGCTATTGGTAAGTGGGCCACTATGGTCATCTATGGCTCATTTTTTTTTTCAATGTACTTGAAGATTTCCTAGGAGATTTTAGTGAAGGTACAGGTTTAAAATAACCAACCTATAGCTAGAAGCATGTAACCCAAGGAGCATGTTCATTCCTTCTCCAGAAGTCTCTGCACCATGGATTTCACCTCCTTGCTGAGGAAGAAAGGCAGTTTCAGTGACTTGTGCCTTCTAGGCCTTAGAGCCCAGGCTGTGAGGATACCCTAGATCTGACTCCTCTTCCTAATGGGACAGGCAGAAAAAGGAGGGGAGAAGAGCAGGGAGGGAAGGAGGGAGAGGAGGGAAAAATGGACAGAGGGAGGGAGAAAGGGAGAAAGAGAGAAAGAGGGAGAGAGGGAGGAAGAGAGGAAGGGAGAGGGGGAGGAGGAGTGAGGGAGAGGAAAAGAGGGATGGGGAGGAAGGGAGAGAGATGGAGAGACAGAGAGAGGGAGAGGGAAGGAGAGAGACTGAGACTGACTTAAGGATTATCTTGGGTGTTTCATTGTCTGAATGCCTAGACATTTCATTGTCCAAATACTTTTAGGGAAAACATT